TAAATAGTCATTAGCATGTTTTAGAATGAATATATATGTATATATATACATTTGTTATAGGTCTAGGTGTGTTCAGGTCCTCACCAAAACATTGCCAAGATACTCTTAATCTTACATGGGAAAAAACCCAAACACACCTAGACCTACACACACACACACACACACACACACACATATATATGGATCTTTGGTTATTCGGGTTTTCTCCCGTGTAAGATTGGAAGTATCTAGGCAATGTTTCGATGAAGTCTCATTCATCATCTTCAGGCTTGTGTCTTCGGCTTTGTGCTTCTCAGAGTAATGTGAGCTTGCAGCTGCTTCTTCCTTTTAACTGTTAGTGGGGGTGTGACTTGATTGGGTGGGGGCTTGATTGTGTTCTGATTGGGTGGGGGTGTGTTCTCATTGCTTGGGGGCCTGGCTGTGCTCTGATTGGCAGGGGAGTTGGCTGTGCTCTGATTGGCTGGGGGTGTGTTCTGTTCAGGTGGGGGCTTGGTTGTGCTCAGGTTAGTCTTAGTTGCTGGGGGATTTGAGCTGGTGAGCTGTGATCCTGCTGTTTGGCTTCGTGTTCGTGTTCGTGCCGCATCTTCATGGTGGGTGTCAGTTTTCTTCATGTATGGGTCAGAGGGGTTTGAAGCTGGTAGTGATGCAGCTGCGGTGCGGCTTCTGGTCCAATGGATTCCAAAGAAAGAAGATTACCCACCTAATCCAAAAAGAAACCCCAACCAAAGACAGAGAACAAGAGAATGGCAAAGCCCTCCTCCCATATATAAAAGGCACTACAGACAAAATCAGCAAGATCCTCCAAAAACACAACATTAAAACAGCATTCTGCACAAACAGAAAAATATCCACCATCCTAAGAAACCCTAAAGACAAAATCGAGTTAGAAAACCAAGGAGTATATGAAATCCCTTGCACTGTCTGCCCCACCACATACATTGGACAAACTAACAGAAGAATAAGTGCATGCATTGAAGAACATAAGAACTCAATCAAAAAAGAAGAACTGACCTCTTCCCTGGTCCAAAATCTCAAGGCCACAGGACTTGAGATTGACTTTAAAAATACCAGAACTATCGCCAAAACCGAACACTTCAACAACAGAATAATCAGAGAAGCCATAGAGATAGAAAAACACCCACACAGCATGAATAAATGAGATGATACTTCCTGCCTACCAGCCATTTGGAAACCCGCCTTCATGAACAAACAAATACCTAACTGAAGAATGACACCAGACCCACACACACGAGGGCCACACAAGATGCTACCACCACACTTCCACGTAGAACACAAAAATGCAGTAAAAAAGCTGGAACACACTTCCTCACTAGTCCAACACATGAAAGCAACAGGTCATAGCATTGACTTCAATGGCATCAAAACCCTAGCCACTATAGAAAACCCCAGCTACAGAATTATCAGAGAAGCCATAGAGATTGAAAAAAGACCTGAAAGCATGAATAGAAGAGATGATTCCACCAGACAGTCAATCATTTGGAAGCCAACACTCACAAACAAAAAAATCTCCCCACCACAAGCCAGGCAAACACCTGGGCACAAACAGATCCCCCCTGATACCTTCAGCTCAAACACACTCCAACCAGGCAACCAGATGAAACCTAGCTTCCTAATAAATGATAGCTGTCCATTTACACAGAGGCAAGCCACACTAAAAGCCTCCAATACAGGAAACACAATGTTGCCACAATCAAGACAAATAATGCCACAAAACAGACAGAAGATATTAGAAACACCAATCGAGCAGAACACAGCAAACTCCAAGACCAATAAACACAGACCAAGACTCCCAACCAATCAGGATGAAGAAAAAACCATTCTGGCACAGCAGTAGGCTAGCCCCAAATTTAAAACTGAAACGGCTATGAAAGTCTGACTCACAGATGAACACAATACAGAAGCCTGATGATGGCAGATGAGATTCTGCCGAAACGTTGCTACAACTTTAAAAGCACAACTATAATGATGTGGAAAAATACTTGAACAAAGCTGAATACTATATATACATATACATATACATATATGTTCTGTCTCACCTGTGGCCACAAGGTGAAAGTCCAAATGTCTAAAGGAAAAAACATGAACAGACAATATCAGGAACAACAGAGTTAACTTTCCTCTGGCTGAAGTCGTCATTGGCAGCTTTCCCAGAAGCTGTCTGCAAATCCAGATAACGAGCAGCACTATAAATCAGAGCCGAACAGCAAACAGAGAACTTTTTCCAAACTGCGAACGTAAATAACAAAGTTTGACCCAAATGGGGATTCCAAGCTAACACGCCACCTTATATTCCTTGAAGGGGTTTGTCAGTCTCTCTACTCAGTTTGATTTGACGTTTCCTTTCAATTAGTGCTTGACGTCTCAGCCTACGTCTAGTCCTTACATCAACCCAACATTCATCGGCTTGATCATCACCCAAGGATTTCGGCATGTTCTGTCAATCATCTGCTGACACCTGAGGCATAAGTGATGAGGAAGGTTCTGGAGAGAATGGTGATTCCGACACGTCCTCATCCTCCTGGCTCATGTCTGCATCTCCCATTAAAGCAGGCTCAAATCCCAATGCCAAACCCTCCTCATCACTCAAACCTGTGTCTTCTGACACATCAGACTCAAAGTGCACAGCAGGCTCAAATCTCCCAGTCACAACACATATACATATACATATGCATACACATATACATATATGTTATGTCTCACCTGTATCCACAGGTGAGAATAAAAAGTTCCAGAGTTCAAATATTCAAGCAAAAACAAAACCAGACCCAAAAGAGTTAACTGCACTGTTTTCCAGTCCTTGGCAGTCTTCCTGGAATCTGTCTGGCAATTCAGAATTGTTCATAAATCACAACGGCCGCTTCAAACGTATCCTTTTGAATCTACAAAGCACTTTGCTCCAAGCAAAGATTGAGAGTCAGCACACCTCCTTAAATCCCCTGGATGGGCATGTCAGTCTCTCTGATCAATGCCTGGCTTGACACCTCCTTTCAGATTATGATTGACATTTCAATCATCTCCTACTTCTAGCATCAAGCCAATATCCGTCAGTCTCTTCCGCACTAGAAGCCTCTGGCTCATTTTGTGGATCAGCTGCTGGCATGAACAAAGTCGAAGGTTCTGGAGAGGACTGTCTCTCTGACAATCTCTCATCCTCCTGGCTCACATCTGTGTCCTCTGATAATTCAGACTCCACATTCACAGCAGGCTCAAACCTTCCATCTTCAGAGGCATCAGAGTCAAAATTCCCAACAGGGTCAATCCTTCCAGTCACTATATATATATAACGCAGGAGAAAACCTGAATAACCAAAGATCTATATATACATTTTTCTCGTCTATAATTATCTGATAATCTTAAGGTAATTCCCAGTAAGTTATAAACTTCAAATCTCCCCAGTCTACATTTCTAATAAAAAATACAAAGATACATTCCCATGTGGTGTCCCCCTTTAATTCTATATCTAACCCTTATCTCTAAATCTCATTTCTAAATCTCATTTCTCTTAGATTTAGCCAGCTTTCCCTTTACTAAGTTTTCTTGGCCTTTTCTCTTTATCCCTCTTTTTTCCTCTAATATTACAGTTATAGCCATCTGCCAGTCCCCCACCTTTCCTCCCCCCCCACCTTTCCTTTTCGCTTTTTTGAAATTTCTTCTTGTACAGCTTCTTCTACTTTTGCTTACTCTTTGGAGTTTTTTTTTTATTTATTATCTCTGATGTCAATGTCTTAGTTTTAGTTCCTTTTGTGTCTCTTGGCAATGCCTCTGAATGTTCATGTCCATCTTAGCTGTTTTCCTCTTCCTTTGGCTCCTCCTCTCTAGAATTCCTTTGTTCTCCTATAAATTGCATTACTTTTTCTGCCAATGTGTCCAATAAATCCCTTCTTTCTTTTATCATTTCTTTCACAGTTTGCAGTTCCAACTTGAATTCTTTGCTTGCTTCTTCCATTTTTTAATCAATTGTGTTATTCTTTATTTTATTAAAGTTAATTGTAATCCTTGCCAAGAGACTCCGTTTATATCTTTATATCTTTATATTTTCCTTACTGGTCCTTCTGTTTCCTTTGTGCAGTCAACCCCAAACAGTCCCAAGATATTGCCTTCCTTTGTCCTCTTGCTACAATCTCCCCCTTTTTCTTTGAAGGTTCCAGGGTTCTTGTAATGTTAAAGTCTTTTATTTCATGTCTTTTCTTATTCACACATTTAACAAACCAGTAATTTTCTATAAATACCTTGTACCATTAGGTGGCACTCTATATCACTTCCACTTTTTAAAGTTCTTTTTTTCCTTTTTTTCAATTATATTAATGTTAATTTTCAAGCATTTCAACCATTGGCTTTTTTTTTTAAAGTATAATCAATTCCAAGCAAGTTCAGCATTTTATCCAATGCCTAATTAATCCCAAGTTCTGTATGTTATTCCCAATTCTGTCTTTAATTTCATTATAGCTCTTTTGTAGTCCAGATTTTTATTTACCTTATATTGTCCTCTTGTTTTCTATTCTCCGCTGTTGTACTCTCAAGCAAGAAATCTTTCTTTCTGCTTTTCGGTGTTATTAAAATAAAAGGTTCAGATTCCCTTGTCTGGATACACGCCGCTCACCACTTCAGCTCTCCAGCACACACTTAGGCCCCAGTATCTTCCCATCATCAGGGCAGCCATTAAAACCACTGCTTCTCCCTGTCTTCCAGGGGAGTATACTAAGCCAGGGAGGGGAGATATGGCTCCCCTCAACCCAGCTGGAGATCTCCCCCTCCGAGGTGGGTCTGATGGTTCAGTCCTGTAGGGACCCTTCCAACAGGGTATGTACGGATCAAAGCTGTGCACGATCACAGTCTCTGTCCATCCTCGATGGAATTGCCACTGGAAGTCTGGGGGAAAATTTTTTAATAACTTATCTAGCTTTCCTATCACTTTCAGAAACATGTTTTATGCATTGTTGATATCATTTATTTGAATTGCATTTTTCCTGATCCTACAGCTGCAGAAAAAGATTCATGCTAGCCAATGTTTTTCAGATGCAGCCCATTGCAACAAGTGTCCAGATGACCAGTATTCCAATGAGAAGCGAAATAAGTGTATCCCCAAAAGTATAAGCTTCTTGTCCTATGAAGAAACATTGGGATTCATTCTGGCTTCCTTTACCCTTGCTTTCTCCTTAATCACTGCCTTTGTTTTGGGAATCTTCACTAAATACAGAGAAACTCCCATAGTCAAAGCCAACAACAGGGACCTGACCTATATTCTTCTGATTGCTCTTCTCCTTTCCTTCTTGACCTCCCTTCTATTCATTGGACGCCCCAAGAAAGTGACCTGCCTTCTTCGACAAAGCATCTTCAGTGTTGTTTTCTCAGTTGCTGTGTCTTCACTGCTGGCAAAGACCGTCATGGTGGTGGTGGCATTTCTGGCCACAAAGCCAGGCAGCAGGATGAGGAAATGGTTGGGAAAGACTCTGGCCAACTCTATTGTTGTATCCTGCTCTGGGATTCAGGTGGGCATCTGCATGATATGGCTTGGAATCTCTCCCCCATTCCCAGACTCTGACATGCATTCTCAACCAGGGTATATCCTGCTGCAATGTAACGAAGGGTCAGTCATCATGTTCTATACTGCACTGGGTTTCATGGGCCTTCTGGCCGCCATCTGCTTCTTGGTGGCTTTCCTAGCACGCAAGCTGCCAGGGACCTTCAATGAAGCCAAGTTGATCACCTTCAGCATTTTGGTTTTCTGTAGTGTTTGGATTTCCTTTGTCCCCACCTACCTGAGCACCAAAGGAAAATACATGGTGGCTGTGCAGATCTTCTCCATTTTGGCCTCCAGCCTGGGTTTAATGAGCTGTATCTTTGTTCCCAAATGCTACATCATTATTCTGAGACCTGACATGAACACCAAGGAGCACCTGATAGTGAATTCTAAAAAGGGAACATAACGTTTTACATCCAGATAAATGGAAGGATGGAGGGTAGAAAAAGAGGAGGTATATAAAGATAAATATACATGATCTTTTGACCCCTTTGAATAGTGACTAGGTTCACACAGCACACTAAACCATATTTTTTATAAAAGTTTTTATTTTTAAGACAAACATATACAAACAAAAGATAAAAACATTAAAAAGTAAAACCATCTTCCATTTTATATGCATACAGTGTGTCAGCTGGTTACAAATCTTTTGTGCTATCCTTTCGTAGTCATTACTCACAGTTTATATATATTTTCACATTGTCAAACTAACATATGCTTATATATTTATCAGTTATTAATCATCTATGACTAAACTATTTATTCCATCATTTTATATGAGATATTCCAAATTTTATTTTGAAGTTTGTATTGTACTTTCATCCAATGGCTATATACATCTATATTGTATTTTATATCAATCTATTAAACTTCTATTACAAAATTATCTAATCTATTACATTACCATGTCTTTTTGTCCAACCATTGATAAAACAAATCCCATATCATATAAAATTGCTCTTGCTCTCTAATTTCAAATGTCAATTTACTCATTTCAGCACAGTCCATAATTTTCTTAATTACTTCCTCCTGATAGGTATTTTTTCCAATTCTTAGCAACTACAATTTTAGCCGCTGTTAAAACAATTACAATCAAATATTTCAGCTCTTTATTGTATATTTCCAGTATAATTCTCAATAAAAAGATCTCTGGTTTAAAGTCTATGTGTTGTATTATCATTTTTTCCAATCATGTGTGGATTTTAGTCCAATATTTTTTTGCATCCAAGCATGTCCACCACATATGGTAATATGAACCAGGTATCTGATGACATTTCCAACATTTATCTGATTTGTTCTTAAACATTATCGTGATTCTCATTGGGGTAGATGCCACCTGTAAAACACCTTATACAAATTTTCTTTATATGCAGTTGACATTATCATTTTATAATTTTGAGACCACAATTTTTGCCATTTCTCTAAATCAATCCCATATCCAAAATTTTTCCCCCAAGCAATCATTAATTCTTTAACTTGTTCTTCCAACTTAAATTCTAATAAATTCTAAAGTCAATAGTCTACTGTTCCTTAATGTTATCCATTCCTTTACCCACATCAAATTTGTCGCCTGGTAATATAACTCCCAGTTGGGCAAGGCAAACCCTCCTCTTGTTCTTGCATCTTGTAACAGTTTAAGTTTTATTCTCACTTTCTTACCCTGCCAAATATATTTCAGCACAATTCTATTTAAGTCTTCAAAAAACTCTTTTCTTAGTCGAATTGGAATTGTCTGGAATAGATATAAAATTCTAGGCAATACATTCATCTTAATTGTAGATATTCTTCCAATCAATGATAATTGTAAATTTTCCCATTTTGTCAAATCTGTCACAACCTGCTGTTTGAGTTTAAGATAGCTATCCTCCTTCAGTGTGTTACATCTTGGTGTAATATATATGCCTAAATACGTAACCTCATTTGTGACCTGTATTTCTAAAACTTCTTCCAACTCTTTCTTTCATCTTGCTAACATATTTTTGTTAATATCTTTGTTTTATCTTTATTTATTTTCAAACCTGCTACTTTTCCATATTCTTCTATCTTTTCTATTAATTTAGGTGCTGTTTCCAATGGATCCTCTAATATAAATACCAGGTCATCTGCAAAGGTTTGCAATTTATAGTCTTCCTTTTTGATTTTCATTCCTTTTATTTCTTTTTCTGCTCTAATATTCCTATTCAACACTTCCAATGTTAACACAAACAGCAGAGGCGACAGTGGACAACCTTGTCTTGTCCCTTTTCTTATATCTATGCATTCTGTTAATTCTCCATTTACCATAACCTTTGCAGTTTGTTTATGATATATCGTTTCAATGGCTTGGATAAATTTTTACCAAAGCCCATTTGTATCAATTGCAGTAAGATGAATTGCCAATTCACATCATCAAAGGCTTTTTGTGCATCTAAAAATATCAAGGCCATTTGCTTTCCAGGATGTGTATTCCAAAGTGTCCAGAATTATTCTCACATTGTCTTTGATTTGTCTCTTTGGCAGAAATCCATTTTGATCAGCATGGATAAAGTTATTTAAATATCTTTTCAGTCTTTCTGCCAGGATTGAAGCAAAGATTTTAAAATCTGAATTTAGTAGGGATATAGGTCTATAATTTTTAACTTGCTGCAGGTCTGTATCTTCCTTCGGTATAAGTGTAATATATGCTTCTGACCATGTTTTGGGTATTCTCTTCTTTGACATAACTTCGTTCATGACTTCTAATAGGTGAAGATTCAATATTTCCTGAAAGGTTTTGTAAAATTCCGCTGGCAATCCATCTGGACCTGATGCTTTTCCAACATTCTGTTTTTTTTAAAGCTTCTGTTAATTCCATCATCATTATGTTCCCTTCTAGCATTGTTTCAATATCTTTGAGTATATGTGGTAATTTTGCTTTCTGTAAATATTGCTTAACTTTTTCTTCTTGAATATTCTCTTGATAATACAATTTTCCATAGTAATCTTGTATAATTTTTTTCTTCTCCTCATTTCCATAGCAAACATGTCCTTCTTCATTTATTAATTGACTAATCCTTCTGGATTCTCTTTCCTTTCTCAATTTATAGGCTAACCATCTGCTTGGTTTGTTTGCGTCTTCAAAGTAAATTCTGTTTAGTATTTTATATTTTTTGTGCTAATTCCTCCTTTTCCATTAGTCCCATTTTATGTTTAGTTAAGATGGCAGCGCCCAACTAGGAAGGTGAAGCTCTTGCTCCTGGAGCACTATCTCCCTATAAAGCCACCACCTGCACCAGAAATCACTTTTAAAGCTGCTGCTTGCACCAGTAACCGTGAGTAAACCTGATCCCCAAAAACAAGCCCAAAAACACTGGATTCTGAAGCCGTGGAGCCCTAATAATGCTAGCAGAGTTCCTGCTAATTGATCTGGAGCCCTCCTCTCCTTCCCCAGAGAAGTGAAGCTCTTTCCATCGAGCCCTATTAACCACACTGGTGGAGCTCTTGAACTGGATGACTTGGAGCCCGAGGAGTGCAAACAACGTACCTTCATTTAAATCCCTCACACAGCTGATAGAAGTATCTTCCATGCCAGACAACGCATTTCCATTAATATCCCCCACACAGTTTCCCTGGAGCCACATCGGACAGCTGGTAGGGAGAAACAAGGAGGGAGGAGAAAGCCCTGAGGCTCTTAGGAGCCAAAAGTTACCCTGAACGGCAGAGGAATGCTTCGGTTGTTGAGAGGAGAGGACAGTCTCCTTGACTGACCCGAAGAAAACCCCTCCATCCAAACTAAAAAGAGAATTGCCTGCATAGCTAAATCAAAACCAGTTAGTCAGCTGAGACAGAAGTGAAAAAGAAAGGAAAGATCTTATAACAGCGTGCTTAGTCTTGGTTAGAATCACTCAAATTTCTGCAGTGGAATTTTCCTTGGAAAGTGGGACTCAAAGGAGGAAAATAACTGTGATTAACGATCTGGAGTGACTGTCAGATTTAGTTAAAAAAAAAGGTATTGCAACTAGAAGTAACTTTAAAAGTAAAGGACAGATTGGATTAGTTAACCCAAATTTCTGGACTGTATTTTTAGTACTACTCAACTTGAAGAACTTTAGGAAACTATTGCAAAACAATCTTATTCAGAGACATATTGATTGTAGTTAAAGTGTTTTAATTCAGCGAGTTTTGCTCTCTTTCAAAAACCCAGCGTGCTTTGAACATCCTGTTACAGCCTTTTGTTTACAGAGCAATAACAGCAGCAATCAGAGCAATAAATTCCTCTTACCCAGTCCATCACAGCTGCTAGAAAACAAACAACCCTTTCCTTAAAGACTCTCAATACTACCTCATTACTTTAATCAAACACCTATTAATTCATTACCTCAAAACTTACAACTTTTCTACCTCATCACCTACATCAATGATTAGATAATCAATTTCTATAAAATATTTTATTAATGGTTTAATTGATTTATTGTATTAATTGATTAGTGTGATTAGAGTGTTTAGTGTAAAGAGTGTGATTACTGACTAGTTTAAAAGATCAAGATTCATGTAATTTAATTGATTAGTAAAATCAGTGATTTAGTGAATTTAATTGAACAGTGTGACTAATGACTAGTGTAATTAATTGATTAGTAGTTAGTGTAATTAATTGATTAGGTTGATTGTTGCTTAGGAAATTATCTGACTAGAGAGATTACTGCAATTGATTGATTTGTGTGATATTGGCTATATTGATTACCCAAAATTGTTCCATTAATTAATTCAACCAATGTACTATCTTAACAAACCTACCATGTCAAGAAAAAAATCCAATGCCAAACCACAACCTAAAGAGAAATTAATCCCCAACAATGAACCACAAGACTCCTGCACATGCCTTAAATGCTACAAAACTCTAAAGGATAATGAAAACTCCATCAAATGTTCTCTGTGTAACAAATACGCTCATCATGACTGCTTGGGATTACCCAAGCAAATGATTCAATACCTAGAATCATGCAATGAGTTTCCATATCTCTGCAAATCATGCAGACCCAAACTGGATCTGTTGGAAAGAGTTGATGCCATTGAAACACGATTAACATCCCTTGACACCATAGTAGCATCCCTGGACGCCTTAAAAGAAAGATTATCCAACCTCGAAAAAAAAGACACAACACAAAAACCTGAACATCCAATAGCTACAAACCACATCTCTACCCAACAACCACAACCCAATCCACAACCCAATCCACAAAAACATAACCCAGACAAATATTGATATCCCAATCCTCATCAGAGAAGCTGTTGAGCATGAACGGAAACATCCAAACGCCATCTTATTTGGTCTAGAGGGCATCAATGATAATGATGACATCACAACTGTCCGAAACATCATCAGTGATTATCAAGCATCAACCATCTCCCCTGATGAAATACTTGACATTTCCCGCATTGGCCAAGAGC